GCCTCTAGACGTATTGCAAATATTGCTCAAATCACAACATCAGAACATAGAATTTGTTTCGTGGAACGCGAGAATTATGGGTCTCTTTTTCTCGAAGCTAACGAAGCTGAGCGACTGCGTCTTCCTCATTTTGAGACAAAGGCGGTTTTTGTTGCTGGCGAAGCAGCGCTTGCATTAAATATTAAAGGCGGCTTTCATTGCGCGGCTGTGAAGTATTGTACGAGCGGGTATGCCGGCCTCATGCATATATCTTCAATTTTCCACTGAAAATGGGCTCTTGCTGCAAGTTTATCTTGGACATCCGCGTCCCACTTGTATAGGTTCATGGTAGGTTTGTGTTTTTGGGCCATCTAAGAGCTCATTATCAGTTGATATCACCATTGAATGCTGTTCAGAAGAACTGCAGAAGAATTGGGATTTTCTCTTCAAAATTGTCTTTGGTTTAGGAAGACGAGTGGAATGGGGATGCAGATGCACCAGCCGCAGCTTCCGCGACAGCTGAAGTGCCGGCTGAAGAAGACGAAATGGAAACGGATCGGCTTCTTCTCGGAGGCGCCAACGACTCTTCGCAAACGCCTCCGTCCACTACCGGGCACGGGAAGAAAAAGAATAGCAAAGAAAGTAAGCAGTCACATCATTATTCTTCGTTGCAGTAATTTCAACTCCGAAAATTGCAAATTCACTGCTTGTTGTACATCAGTAGTCAGATATTCAAACTTTAAAAAACCGCTAGATTGTACGGTGCAGTACTAAAACCTTTCATTTTCTCACCACGCGCTGCACTATGTCACTTTCGAGCCACGTATAGATCAAATAGGTGAGTAATGTGCCTGTTTCCGAAGTCAAGTCCGCTACTTTCCGTCATCATGCCTGCATTTTGGATCGATTGCGGCTTGTGGTTCTGTGGTTCCTGGGCTTGCATGATTATTCTAGTTCTATTCGTCTTCCCTTTGAGTTGAGATTCTTTTCCCGCGGTGTAGCATGAGCAAGCTCAGTCGATTTAGACAAAAATTTGCTTTGCTGACGTGATTTATCTTTTTCTGTTTTAATTTCCGAAGTGGAATAGCTTCAC